TAGGCGTCCTTCAAAATATAATAGATTATTCTTGAACTCGAACTTAGAAGGATCATGAGACTTGGAAGAATTATTCTCGATATTATAAACAAGAGGGTCTGAGGACATACTGGACTGGATTTACTTGAGAAAAGTTGAATCAACAGTCAATGTTGATTTCATTGCTCGGAGATGAAATTGCTTCGGTTTCAAGAGGACCGTTCTTTGTTGCTCAAAAGCTGCATCTCCTTCTTTTGGTACAAAATAAGAACGTCTAGATAGGGCATCAGACAAACCTTGTTGTTTTTCTGGCCGATAAGTGATAATGAACTCGAATCTTGACAAAGACATACTCCAACGAGCTTGACGACGATTCAACACGCGTGCTGACATGAAATACTCGAGGTTCTTGTGATCTGTATACATAGTGACTAGACTAGAAGCGCCTTCTAGATAATGACGCCATTCTTGAAAGGAATCCACGATCGCAAGAAGTTCTTTATCGTGGATCTCATAATTGATCTCGGCTGCTGAGAATTTTCTTGAATGAAAAGCTATCGGATGAAGTTTGTCATCTGTTCCCATTTGTGATAAAACTGCACCCAAGGCAAAATCTGATGCATCTGTTTCCATAAAAAATGCCTTGGAAAAATCAACACGATATAAGACTGGTGCAGAGACAAACGATGTCTTCAAGGCTTCAAATGCTGCTTCCGCTTCTTGATTCCATTGGAATTTATCTTTACTAGTCAAGCGTGTAAGTGGAGCTGCAACTCGTGAGAAATCTTTGATGAAGATCCGATAGTAATTGGCAAATCCCAAGAAACATTGGACATCTCTTACTGTCCTTGGAATCTTCCAATCCATGATTGTTCGGACTTTCTTAGAATCCATCATGAGACCATCATTTGAAATGATGTATCCTAAAAATCAACTTGAGTAGTGTGAAATACACACTTTTCCATCTTGGCGTACAATCCTGCATCTCTAAGTTTTTGTAATACTTGACGAACATGTATTTCATGTTCTTCGACGTTCTTAGAATAGATCAGGATATCGTCTAGATAGCAGACGACAAAATTGTCTAAGAATTCACGAAATACATCATTCATGAGATGTTGAAAAGCAGCTGGTGCATTCGTGAGTCCAAAGGGCATGACATTATATTCGAAATGTCCATACATGGTTCGAAACGCAGTCTTCCATTCATCTCCTTCTTTGATCCGTACTAGATTATATACTCCTCTTAGATCTATTTTTGTATAGATCTTAGCTTGATTCAACTGGTCAAGGAGTCCTGATATCAAAGGTAATGGATACCTATTCTTGATTGTGATCTTGTTGAGTCCTCGATAATCAACACACATTCGTAAAGATCCATCTTTTTTCTTTACGAATAGAATTGGAGCTCCTGCTGGAGATTTTGAATGGCATATAAAATTCTTCGCTAAATTCTCGTCAATATATGTCTTGAGTTCAGCCATCTCATCTTACGATAAACTGTAAATTGGTCCAAATGGTGGCTGAGTTCCTTCCTTGAGGTCGATTGAACAATCATATGGGCGATGCTCAGGAAGAATATCTGCATTCTTTTTCTCAAAAACGTCTTGATACTCCTGATATTGACTTGGAATGCCAATTGAAGTCTTTACGTTTTCAGAAATAGGTGCAGCATAAATAGCAAAAGTTGATCCTTCTTTTGTTGCGTGTATAAATACTTTTGCACCTATCAGTACGGGTTTTACTATACTAGACTTATAATTTTTTACTTGGTTGGTAGAACTATTAATAACGCTTTGGGAAAAGTCAAGTTTACGCAAATTCCAATCTATTTGAGGGTTATATTTTTCTAGCCAGGATAAACCTAAAATAACTGGATTGGACGGGGATTTAATTATGTTAAAAGCTATGTAGCTATCATGACCGTCTATTGTTACTTTTATAGGATGAGTTTCATGAGTGACATCTCCAGAAGACAAGGGACGACCATCTATGACTTCTACATGTACTGGTTTAGGTTTCTGTACAAAAGGTATTTTACGACTTTTAACAAATTGTTCATCTAAAAAACATGCTGAGGCTCCCGAATCTAATAAAGCAGAGGCTTTGTAATTCTTAGGTCCTAAATATAAGTCTATTATAAAACAAGGAGAGGGTTCTGAGGAGAGGATAGGACCTTCATTAGGAATTGTACAAGGTTCCAGCTGCACGGTCCCTATTGTAGCTGGACGAATCCGTTTTCCGACATGTTGTCTTCTTTGACCGTCGTACCCCTCATTTTATAGTTGCGTCGTTTCTTTGGACAATGTTGAGCAGTGTGCTTAGGTTCTCCGCAATATAAACATAATCCTTCTTGACGACGACGAATCTTTTCTTGCTCAGTTAGGGGTTTAAAACGTACCGCGTCAATTTGCATGTCTTCTACTTCTGAATGTACGTTTGGCAAAGATGTTGATGTTGCCATTGAATAATAACGTTGAGGTTCCCGTGAATGATTCTCGGATCGAAATTCGAAAAGTCGATTATCACATTTTACCGCAAAATCGATTGCTTGACTCAAAGTTTGAGGATTAGATAAGTTGAGTATCAATTTCTTTACTTCGTATTGCAATCCATAAAGAAATTGACTGATGAGTGCAGCATCATCCCACTTGATGTCAATTGCAAGTTGTCAAAATTGTGAAGCATATACTGTTACTGAGCGATTTTCTTGTCGCAAAATTTGGATCTTATTTGTTACAACACGAGTTGCATCGTGTTCACCATACATAGATCGAAACTCCGCCAAAAAAGCTTCCAAATTGTTCAATATTGGATTTCGTTGTTCAAGAAAAGACGAAAACCACGATAATGCAGAACCAGAAAGTAGAGTGCCAATAAACCTGACTTGTGATCCTGGAGTTGGATAGCTTTGCGGTTGAAGTTCAATTGCCAATTGTACTTGATTGATGAACCCTCGAAACTTTGATCTCGTACCATCAAATTTCTCAGGTAAGGCAATTCTTGGTTCTCTAGTGCTTATAGGGTGTTGTACAATTGGAGAAGAAACGTGATTTGTTGTAGATGTTGAAGCAGCTCCGATCAACTCTATATCTCCACTTTCTGCTATTCTTGTTCTTTCCTGTGTTGGTGAATTGAGTTGATGCATCGCAAGCATTAACTCCCTCATTTGCTCTTGCATTTGTGCCATTGCACTCTTCATTTCAACAAGCTCTGCCATAATGACACTAAGAAGAAAAATTTGTTTGATATTGCTCAAGACAAAAGAAAAGAAAGACTTGATAACAAAGAAGATACTAAGAACAATATCAGTTTAGAAGTGGGTAATCCGCAAACTTCTAATACGCTTATGTCTTGTCAAGAGAAAGGGGTAATCCACTCTTACTCAAGAAAAAACAAAGCTCTGATATTGTAAGTGTACTCTTGTCAATCTTTCAAGGACAAAGACTCGATGAGGGAAAATATACACCAAAAGGCTATCTCGATATAATAAGTCAAAATATAAACAAGTAAGTATATTAAAAGGAAACTAGAATGGCTATTGCCACAAGACAAGAAACTAAAGACTCTTGAACCTGGACTAGAAGCAAGAAAGGAGTTGACAAGAGTGAAGAAGCCTTCACTCTTGTCTCTATATATACTATCTAACTAGGGGCTACGTGGTGACGTTCTATAGGACCTCCAATATGTGTTGACTTTGTAGGACACATGCCTTGACTTACAAGGCAAGTTTTTCTACGTGTGGGCCACATAGTTAGCTTAATCTTCAAGCTAACAACATGTGTGGCACATGGCCAACTTGTTGACCACGTTTCTAATCCAAAAAGTCAATTAAAGACACCTATGAAGTCAAAGTAGCATCTAGGAAGTTTCTAGGAAGCTTCTATATTAAATATTATAGAATTAACTTACTTTTATCTACTTTTACTTACTTCTACCTATTTCTATATGTAATTATTAGCTTACATGATTATGGCCGTGACATATAAAGTAATAAGGAAATTATTCAAAACAATTGATTAAATTAATATTCCTTGTAGATCCAGCACAATAGAAGAGATTTTCAAAAAAACTCTAATTGTCATATACGTCAAAGAAGATATAAAGAGTGAAAACAAAGAATGCAAACAAAAGAAACCTTTAAGTTTTGAACAAAGCTGCAATCATTTTTTGAGCAAGCTTTGAGGGATAAGGACATCTTAAAATTTAGTATATGATTGATTTTGTTAAGACCTTGTGAATCAGCCAGTTAAATTAAGTTTAATGAAAATGATGATTGAAAAATCCAATCAATTAAAAGGCCATTTTGTCTCCTTAGTTTATCCTTATGATTTATAACCCCTCATATATGTTATAATAGAGATACAAGATATAAGGTTGGATTTACTTACACATATTCATATACTAGTTTGATTTATAATAAATCCACTTAACCTTCTTAAATTTTTTGCAAATAGTAATTACCATTATTGTTGTGAGCTAATATTTTATTTTTTCAAACTACGCCAAAATAAATAAATAAATAAATAAACCTATCTTAACTTCCTTATACAATTATATATATTTTTTAAAATTATTGTTTTCTTAAATGCATCATTAAAAAGAAATTAGAACAAAAATATTCAAAATTGATAAAGATTTTAACAACTTATAACTTTAAAAGAAACAAAATCATTTGTTGTAGGAATAGGTGTTAAAATATGTGGCCAAAACACATCAAAAGTGAGCCAAAAAGAAGGCATGTCACTTAATTTGTCTATTTAGACACATAACACTTTTGGTGAATTTGATTCATATAAATTATACATCAAAACGTAAAATATACAATAAAGAATTGCTACAAATTGATCCAACATGAAACAAACTGTAGGATTAAAACAGCACTCATTAAAAAGAAATAAAAGAGCGATTAATAAGTTGAAGCCAATAACAAAACATGCAAAAATTACTATCCTTAGACAGGTCGTTAAACTTAAGAAACCCATTTGAAAGATTTACACTTGGGCATCACACGCAGGGTGTTGAGCAAAGCTGGGAGTTTTAGGGTTTCGATCCCGTCAATTTTTGTTCTTCCCGCAGAATGTAGAAACGTAAAGCGGGGTTGGAATTTCTTGAAAAATGCATAAACGCTTTTGTTATGATAATAATACAACCAAACCGTAACCCAGAACGGCCAGTATACTAGTTTCTTACGGTGATAATATAGGTGTGAATCACCAGCTGAGAGTAACCACTACACGACGATCTAGATGTTACAACTTTCTGCTGGTTTGTGATAAGATAAAAAAACAGAATGTCTCATCAGAGCCGCATCGACAAAACCTACACTGCCGACGTCGACAATGGTTAGAATTGAGAAGTTGCCTACAGAATTTCACGTCCAGTTCTGAATCAGTGCCCTAGTAGTACGTTGTTGAAACTTAAGGCAAAAGCGATGAATCGGAGCTTAGGAGAGGTTGCTCAAGATTGACCACCCCACAGCGACAGCTGCGGCGATGTAAGATCTATCATAAGGTTGTAAACTCCTGCAACCTGAATGCGTCGAAGGAAATCAGATAGAGAAGTAGTCTGTGCAGTGCTTTATTCCACAGGGAAGACTGAGGCAAATGGGGTGGGTTCTAAGATTGCCATACCTGCGTTAGTAGTTTGATTTGCTGATGCTGGCGATGGTTGAGACGTTGGCGGGCTCAAACCAGGCACTGTGAGGTTAAGGCTTGAGCACTCTCCGCTTATTTCACCTGCAGTATCATCAACATCATCCCATAAGCAAATCATGCTAAAAAGGAAGTTCTAGCATTGGTGAGGAAACCTAGAAAGGCGAATCACGCTTGTGATTCAACACACTGGCTCTCATGATGCAGTTGTGCAGTGACGGTCTCCAGGATGTAGAATATCAGCCAGTGTCATCCGACCGGGCAAAATATACCACCCAACTCATTCACAGAGTTCGATAAAAAAGAGAAGACCCAGAGCTTGTATGATTTTCGATAACTTACAATCATTCACGCAGTATCCACCCGTCATATTGCCCACATTAGCGTAACCAGAGTCGCACGTACACTTGAATGTCGACGCATTGTTCTCGTTCTTGATCTCACTACATGTTCCGTGTCCGCAAATTCTGGGCAGTGAGCATGCTGCAACAAGTATACCAAATCAGGGGGAGGAGCTTCTAAAGCACTGACTGACTGCGAATCCACTCCCTGAGAATCGTTCACATTGTTCCAAAGGTCGGAATAAGAATCAATCAACTTACCGCTTAGGTTGGCGTACGATGGTACTGAGCTGGGGCTTGCAGGAGCCAGCGTGGTAGAGTCTCCAGAGCATGAGGAATTAAAGGTGCCTGTCACAGGAACGGCAGCTTGCACCGTAAGATTCCGATGATGTTCTCTCGGACGCAAGCATTTGAAAACCATCAAAACCAGATTTCGCACACAAAGTACACGTAAGGGTTCTTCACTTTTTTGTCATTTTTGTTTTTTAGAATGTTTTAGAGGGTGAATAAGTTTACTCACAATTCGGAACGTTGCAGGGAAGTGATGGTATATTGGGAAGCGAGGGGACAAATTTCTCAATAGTAGCCCACCCAGGATAGCATTGGCACTCGTAGGGAAACAAAAGGCTAACTAAGGTGTTGGAAGTCGGGACACACGTCCCCTGCTGACAATCGACATTCGCGCAAGATTCGTTTGAGGAGGAGCCTGATGGCAATCGAAATGCAAATTCTGTTAGATTACCTCAGCCAGATTACGATCTACGATGGTGACTCGCATTGCAACCCAATACAGATGCCTCAGAATTGCAGATTCGTATACAGAAGCTACACACCTCACACCTCCCAACTTAACATGTCCTCGAGAGTTAGGTGTTTAAGGAATGGTGAGAATCATACCGAGCGTGAATCGATGAATTCCTAGGGGGCCCTGCGCAGCAACAAGCACGAACGAAGCCCAGAAAGCCAATAGTACTGACGAAACACTTGGTTGGCTCCCCATATCTTCAGAAGCCGTCAATCCTCCCGCAGGATTTTCTGAAAGAAGCGGGAGGAACAAATGGTCATTCAGCAACAAGTATCAGATGTCTGCTTGACAAAAAGAGCACAAATGCGACCTAAACAAATTTGTGCGAAGACGGAGGCATTGGATCCGTAGGCACGGGGAAAACCTTGCTGGTTCTTGCAACTCCACCATAACCCCCACCAAAGAATACTAACTCCGCATCTGTTTGATGGGGAACTAAATTACGCAGTGGATGTTGCCAACAGTCGCGATTTGTACACCACATTGGATCTTTCCAATGAGTAAGCGTCCTCCCATTAACCTAACACGTCCGATTTCCTACATTCGAACCTTTATCCCCTGCTCCAACCCTTATGATCCCGCGCCTTTACCTCAAGGATAAATTTCTTAAAATAGTTCGCACTGTATTGGGGGCCTTCGGCGCTGCTGGTTACTGGTGTGTGAGATTCGTACAGTTCATTGACCATAACGAGCGCGTAATGCTGAGCTGTGTAGCTCAATTTTGGCCTTCCAGTTCGGACCTGCCGAAACCTGAGCACAATCAAACGTCGTGGCTGACAGTGTGATGTTAATGACGTCGACATTCTAAATTAGAACTCTGCGCTCACGCTGAATCTGCGTAGTTTTAAAACCATGCTGCCTAGGCTTAAAGCACCTTGATGGATGCTTTGACGCTATGAAGACCCATCCCGAGAATGTCCGATTCAGATACCTCGATGCCGATCGCAACCTTGCGATCATCTTCCGCACAGAACACTAGAAACCAAAAGGCTCATTCCAACAATGATACATCGTTACTAAGCAGTTCACGCACCTCCAACACCACACTCGTAATCGACTACGACACTGGTTTCCAATAACAGACATTCACTGCCACGCTCGACGGACCGCACTCCGTGTTTTCAAACACCATCTGAACGATGCAGTCCAAATGTACAAAATCTTGTTCACCCACCATGAAATCAAACCTCACGGCAGAGAAAACTAATATAGAACAAGAAATGGATTAAAATTTTCTAGGAGGCATTAACGGCGAGGTAGAGTTGAGTACGCCAGCCGGCATCTGAAGCCATAAATGCGACCTTCTCACTCCTCCCATCAATTGAAAACCCTGTGTCCACCATAAATGATCAACCCTTTCCACACCAACTCCGCTGCGTATACACACATTCGTCAACTACTCGGATTTGCTTTTTCGATCCATGCACCACCGTCGTTGCAGTCTGCCTCCACGTTGTCGGTGGTTTTGGATTTGCATGGTGCTGGGTGTACCGACCCTGTGCCAGATATTCCTCATGTGCTTTAAGATGCAATACCCTCTGAACCACCCTCCCAAGGCAGGTCGCTCCTGAGACCTTTTGTTGGAGTAAAAGCAGTGTGTGCTGAATTTCTACACTGCAACCACCGAGAGTTGGTGAATCTGGGACCAGGTGGGTGGGTACTGTGAAGGACTGGGTGCAGAGACTCGGGACATTCCTTCCCCCTTCAATGCCGAAGAGAGATTCTTAGCCGCGTGATCTCGCTTTCATCGATTCCTGCAAGCAATTGCTTCTGCACTGGGCCATGAATATATCCTCGCTTTCGGACCCATGAAGTCAAATCACACGGTGACTGTGTGACCGTCTTTGCTTGCCTACCCCATTGTTCTGTTCCCATCACTGTCCCAGACCTCGGGAGAAGACCGATGCGTAGTGCATTTTTCCAGAAGAAAATGTTGTAACGATGTGTATTTGGAACTCCCATTCAGAAAGTAATGCTTTTGCGGTAAGGTTTTGCTTTTCCTGTGGACAAAAGCCCTTGGAGCTGCTTTTCAGTGCACAAATACTACATGGCAACCAGCCCACCTGTGTCTTTCATGTACAAAAGTGACAAATTTATTTATTTATTTATTTATTTATTTATATTGTATGTCTCCTCTGACAGTTTGCTAGCCATGGAGGTGGCCAGCAGCCATGAAGTGTGAACGTTGACATCCATTTTGCAAAGCATGGCACCATTTCTATCATCTTCCACCTCCCTATGCAATGCTTTTGTGTGAACAATGTGATTCTTTTCTATGACTTCACTAGTCTGTTTGCGTTTTGTTTGGCTTCCTTGCTGCAATTTTAGACAAAACATGGTGTGTATAGTACGTTTCAATCACAGGAGAAATGTTCTGTGTATATGAACTCATTCATTTATTGTTGTGAGGGTGTTTAATTCATGTGTTTCATTTTTATTTTTATTTTTAGTTGAATTAGAAAGTTCCATCTGTTTTTGGTATGAAATAAAAAATTAAAAATTATTTAAATCTTGGGATACAAAAGAACCAAGAAACACCTTGCATAAAAATACATTTTAAAATTAATGTGTGTTTTCTTTATTGAAGAAAAAAAATCATATATATATTTGAAGTTTATTTTTGAATATTTTACTTCTTTTCTTCCATGAGTTTACTCTACACAAACTGTGTAAAATTATTTAGAGTACAGCCTCATTGTTTAGGAGTGCTAAACCTGTGAAAGCATAGTAGTAGTAGTAGTATTAAGGTTAATAATAATAAATATTCTTGAAAAATAATGCAACATCATCCTTCCATCAAAACTTACAAACACATGATTATGCATGTTTTGGTTCAAGATGAGTGATTACAACAACCATTACAATATACAGTCCCTAATGGACTATTTTTACATGTTATGGATCATTGTTGTTAAATGACATAATTTGACAAGGTTCCCATCTATAACATTTCATGGTTTATGCAAGATAGGGTTTTAAAATGATCTGATACATTTCTTGTTTCATCCTATCAACAGTTTGAAAAAGTGACCTAAATGACAACCATCCAGACACATACTCCAAAGCACTTCAGTACACCAGTACACTTCAGAAATAAAAAAAATCCAACAACTCTTACTCATCTGTTTTAATACATGCATATACACATGCACATTCACACCCAGCTATGAAATCTTCACCTCTTCCAGTGAACACTAGCACAAGACTCTCCAGGTTGTTTTAGAAATGCAGATGGGTAGGTGACATCAACACTAATGCTGTAAATGTGTGTGAACATATAATATATACATGTGCACACACTCAGACTGGTAGGTGAGGAGATTGAGAGAACAATAAATGAAAGAACAAAACAGAAAGGGGCTTACTTACTTGCTGTGAGACTGCTGTCGCAGACTTAAGTACATGTGTACAGAGATCTGAGTGTTAGGCACAAATGTCTGATCTCAGGTCATCCATACAGTATTCATTCGATGATGAAGTAGGGATGGATGTTCCAATAGAGATTTAGTTCAACGTGGATATATATATATATATATATATATATTTAAATACACAGAATAAAGGGGAGTAATAGTGAATGTTGTGATCCCTGAGTGGATGAGTGGAAGAGGAGCTGGTGCAGGCAGCGCTGGGAAGTGGGCAGCAATGGACAGCAACACTGCAGCTTCCACCCTCGCACAGTCCGTATGCATCACTTCCTCCTGTTTCTCCTGCTCCTCCTCCACCGTCTCACACATACTCGTCTTGAGTCAGACAGGCACCGCATTCATTCAATGCTGCCCTAACATTCTTCTTTCTGCTGGGATCTGCTGCTGCTGCTGTCAGAATCTCGTCCGACATTCCCACAAAGCTGCAAGGTGTTTCCAGCTTCCCCTTCCAGCTCATCACGTTGGTTCCACTCTGGGCAGTGACTGTCATTGCCCTACTGCGTGCACTCCACGACTTGTTGCAACGAAAGCAGGGTGGTCAGCTTGGAGTGAGCTCATTGGAGATGGTGGGTGAGAAAGGGCTGGTGATGAGATGTGCTTAATGCGTGTGTAGGGTCCGGTTTCTGGGGAAGTTTCAGCTGACGCACTGGTGAGTTTTGGCCCATGAACTGCGGCGGCAGAGAGCGACTCGCGACTGTGAGTGTACTTCCAAGGCTTGACTGTGCAGTTTAGGGGTGGCCGTGACTTTGTGTCATTAGGTTGTGTCTGTCTGGTAACAAGTGTGTCTCCAGCTCGAGTGCTGTTATAATGCTGCTGTTCAAAGGTGTTTTTTTTTAGTAGTGTGGTTTGTCCAGGAAATGCAATAGATGCGTTGGTGTTGGAGAAAAGATTAGGCTTGCAGACATTCATCATTGAGTCTCTGCATCTTCATTTAACTTCGAGACATGGTTGACCTGGAAAGTTCTTGAGTTTTTGGGATGGCTGCGCGCGTGTTAGGGCGTTGGAAACCCGCATCAGGATTTTTAGCTCAATCTCGTGGGTGACAGGAATGTAACCCTTACCATCACTCGCACTGAGCTGGGACTATTTTTGTGCAGAAAACTGCAGAATTTGCAAGATTCAATGTGACAAGGAGCTGGAGATTGCCGGTGAACTGGAGTTGTTTGCAGGAAGAGCTGCACTTTTGGGATTCAAAAGGTTACGACCGAATAGTCATGGAACATAAGGCGGAAAAGGACATGGAGAAGGAGAGGATTGTAGATGTAAAGTCAGCTCCAGAAGATGCTGAAGTCAAGGTCAGTAAGGGTATCACGACTCTTTTCCTCTAACCGCTAGTAGCCAGTTTGATTCAGCCTGTTAGCCCAACTTAGTACGAGGTTGCACAAGTATCTGACATTGTCTTTGATGGTTGTGGCAGGCCAGTAAGCCTTTGTACAGACGCTGGAAATTCCGGTTATGTTGCGGACTCGGAGTCGGATTTGTCTTTCTGGTTGGCATCCTCTTCATCATCCTTTTCTTTACAGTGTTCAAGGCAAGGGATCCGATCATTTGGATCAATGGCGTGAGACTCGCTGACCTCAACATCACTTACGGAACCTTTATACCTCATGTTCAATTGAAGCTGGACATGAACCTCACGGTTCATAACCCTAATAGAGCAGATTACAAGTATAGCAACAGCTCAACGATTGTGTTCTACCAGCAGATTCAAGTTGGCCATGCTGACATACCTGCTGGCCAACTCGGCGCTGGCAAAACGAAAACCCAGATTGTGACGTTGAATGTGCAAGCAGACAAGTTCCTTGAAGGCTCAAATTTCACGAAAGACTTCGTTTCAGGTGATTAAAATCCATCACAAGTTTGACCTGACGAGATTATGTGGACAATTGCTGCCGATGCATGAACTGAGCTATGCATCACTGTAGGTCAAGTTGAATCTCTTGGTTTAGGTTCTGAATTTTCTTCTCCTGAGCAGGTATAATTCCTGTATCCGCCACGACGAGAGTAAGGGGGGAAGTGAACGTGCTCAACATATACAAGGGCCATGGTGTGTCCTACTCCTGGTGTAACATGTCTGTTTTCATAGTAAATCAAACGCTTGCCAGTTTCCACTGTAGTTACGCTCTTCATCACGGGTAAATCCCAATGATCTGAAGCTTATGGGGCGAGTTTTTGAGATTTTGCCAAATACCGTAATTAGATGTCATGACGGGAAACAGCAGGGGAGGCTTTGATAGTTGCTTGGATCTACGCATGTTACCGAATGTCTTTTCGGTGTGATGAAAGCGGTGGATTCACATCTTTTCCACGATCATCTTAAGTTTTGATCTAAAAGAGAGCTAGTCACGATGAATATGTACAGGATCTTATACTGTCTATAGCGGTGAAAACCACGATCTCATGGGACCATGTGTCGGTGTTATGTCAAAACTTTGAGGGACTGCTTTATAATATCCACGAGGAAGAGTTATACTAAAGCCTCCTTTCCTATGCACAATTTGTTGAGTATGTACTTGACATATCTGCTAAGCACTCCGGTTTGACACAAATGCATGGAGACACAAGATTGGCACGATATTTTTAGACCATATTGCATAAGTATGAATGCTTAAAGAGCTTGAAAAGGATTGTGATGGATCTGATGAGCACAGTAGAAGTCGATAAAGAGCTTGACACCGTTGCAATTGGGTCAGTGGCTGTGACGTTGGAATCATCAACATAAAATCTCTTGGTTTTGATTGACCTTCATCTACTATTACTGCTCTGGACGTGCTCATGCTTCGTGAATGTTAGAGATGCCAAACAGCTCATGCCTTCATATATGAACGGAGAAAAGTTCTAAAAGATAGAGCTAAGCCATACTCACAACAGCAGAATGTGTCGGTGGTAAACAAGTTCCAGGTAGAATGGTATTTTGGTTTGATACAATTTTGAGTACAGGAAAAAAAACAAGGTAAAACAAAATGATACGTCATCTTACTCTTGACTTCTTTTTCTCCGGGTCAGTGTTGGTTTGATAATTTCTTAGGTGCAATGACCATCTGAAGTTTTTTAGTGTTTACAACATGATTTGCCACAATGGAAACTTTTGAGGTAAGATTAACTAAGGTATGTGCATTAAATCATCGTAAGTTTCCTTTTTTTTAATCAAAAATTACAAAATTAATATGTATAAATACCTATAGGGCGTTGCTATTGCCACCGCAATTTTTGCTATTGCCACCACAACTTATCATCTACTACATGCTATTATAGTTTCTTGACTAAAAACTATGAGACTAAAATATATGAATATCTATAGGATATTGTTATTGCTAGTATAATTTGCCAACTACCACATATTACTATGGTTTTTGCTAATGCCACCATAAATTGCTCTAAACTTGAGTTGTAGACAACAAGACACTTTCTCAATGATTCGTATTGTTATCAAAACTAATTTTATTAGCATGACACTCTTAATTATTCATATTAATTGCCTCAAAAAAGAGAAGGGTGGATGGGTCATCTACATTAAGAACATATGAGAGAAATGACAATAGCAATATTTGAAAGATTATATCAAATCATGAAAGACCATATATTAACCACATAGAGTTATTGCAGTTAACCAAAATGTGCCAAAAATAATAATAAATTTTCAATCAATTGCAACTTATGTACCTATAAGCATTTAATAAAAAAAAAATGAAGAAATTCATGTAAAAACTAACTATAGGTTCAAATAGACTAGTCTTAAATTTATTATTTAATTATTTTTTGGAAAGCCTTATTGTAAATAAAATATCAAGATTTTGTAGAGAAATAAAACTCTACATGGTCAATATACATTCTCTCATGATTTGACATAATGTTTTAAATATTGTTATTTTCATTTCTCACATATATTCTTAACATAAGTTATCAATGTACCCATTTATTCATAAGCATTCTTTAAGATGAGTAATTAAGAGTCATGTCTTAATAAAATTAGATTTATTAACAACTCGAGTGGTTAAAAAAGAGCCTTATGGTCTACAACTTAAGTTTAGGCCGTCTTATAGTAGCAATAGCAAAAACTAGGATAGCATGTGATAAATGACAAATTATGGTGGCAATAGAAAAAATTGGGATGATAATAGCAATATTATATATATATATATATATATATATATATATGTATAGAAAGAAAGAAAGAAAGAAAGAAAGAGATTTTTTTAGTTCTTTTAACATAAAATATATTTTGATATTAATAAATATAGATTATTAATTATTTTAGTAAGATATATACTTAAAAAAATATTAATTATATATAAATATAAATTTTTATTATAAATTTAAAAAAATTAATTTTGATATTGCATAAAATATATTTATAACATATAAGATGTATTTTTTATGTCATATATGCTTAATAATATTAAATTAATAGTATAAAAATTGTATAATTTTATATATTTAGTTTTTATTATACAAGAATGTAGACTAGCTTTTGTCACTAGGATTTTGGTTTGATATTCTAATTTAAATTACTTATTTTATTATTTTTATCTTCTCATTTTAGCATTACAAATTTACAAAATTTGATTGTTATATGTTCTTTAAAATATAAAACTACAACTTATATTAGGATTCTATTAAGACATTAGGATTTATGTATTTTTTAAATTATTTCACATTCAATATTTAATTTAGATAGCTTAGAAGACCTTTGAAAATCTTACCAAAAATAATGTACATCTACCTTTCATATTGATAGCAAAGATTCTAATACTATTGATTCTTGTTTCATTAAATATTCTACATAATCATATTATAAAGTATCAAATTATACTGAAAACAAAAGAAGATATAAATATAGATGATGTGACATAGGAATCAAGATTATAGAGCATTAACAAGTAAAATATAAGTTAGACAGAAGTTTTATAACTATAATTGTTTCATAATTTTAGAATTATTTTTTATCTATAATCTAAACCTTCTTATTAAAGTTGATAAAAATATTATTAAATAAGAAATTAATTACTTATATAAAATTATTATAATTATTATTTTCATAGGAGAAAAGAAAGAAGGAAGGAAGAAGAAGAAAGAGGAGAGAGGGAGAAAAAATATATTGTGAGTCTACCCGATAGAATTTAATTGTTAAATTTTTTAAAAATAAGATGTTAAATTATTTAGATAAAAAATATTAATATTAGAGATTTACATCTTTAGAATTATAATAGAGATTTAATATATATATATATATATATATATATATATTTCAAGAATTTTAGAGAATATTTTGAAGACTTTAGTAAAAATGGTTTTATCATCTTGGAAGGCCATTATGAAGAATTCAAGCAAGATTTGAAGGCCTTGCAAGGTGCTTTGATAAATTGGATATTTTTTTAATACATTGATTAAGTAAAAATATAATTTTTTTATTAATAAGAAATAGAAAGATTAACATTAAGTGTATTGCTTATAAGAAGGAAGGTACACATTTTCCATATTGATTGTAGTACCTTAGATGTAGGTAGAAGGATAAGACTAAGGCCTTGTGGCCCTTCTAAAATACTTAGTCATACTACTTGAGGGTAAATTCTTTATAGAAAATTTGTTTGTTTGCTTATCGTTAAAAAGACTTGTACTTGAAGATGTTTATATATTTTTATTTATGTAATTGATAGCACCAAATTTGTTAAGAAACTTCAAACTTTGAATCCATTCAAATAAATCTATTGCATCTACACATTTGAAGAATAAAATGTTAAATTTTGATTTCTTTGTACTTGTAGAGTAATAAGATTCTTTGCTAATATATATATATATATATATATATATATCACATTAAAAAAATTACTACAAGAGTATTGAGCTATCATCAAGAAATTAACAAAGATTTTCAAAATTAACAATGATTATAAAAACAAAAGAAACTTATAAAATTTTGATCATTTTTTTAATATTGCAATTAATTACAAAAGATGATTGAAAACATCTCTATGTATTAAATATTTTATCAAAAATAAAAAAACTAATAATTATATAAACTTTTTTCACAATTCAATCTTGTTATTGTATTGATAGCAATTATGATATAAAAGAATATCTACCTTTAGGTCTTTCTAGATAATTTCAACCAAATATAAATGCCACCTTTAAAATAAATAAATATACAAGAAAAAATTCAACTTATGTCTACAAGCAAGAGTTTTGAACAATAAAGAATAATTCAAATGCAAAAAAAAGTGCATAAAAAAAATCACAAAATCTAATTTCTGCATATTTGACAAGTTTGAAAGATAATAGAGTCTAATAGAAATTTAGGATATATATTAATAGAAGAGAAAAAACAGAATAAAATATAAAAATACTTAATAATGGCCAATACTACCTATACTAATATATATTTATAATACAATTAATACATAATATTTCCTCTATAAAATCCTTCTATAGTAGAGGTAATAATATATTTTTATTAGATTATGAGAAGTTTCTAAAAGAACTTTCTTATGCACCAATACAAGGTTTAGACTTATAATATGTGTCAAACTAAAGAACATTTGAGGTTTCTATAAAAAGAAATATCTTTTGACTTTAAAGTAGTTGATGATATAGATACCATCCTAACCAATTTAGCTACAATAGAAAATAATAAATTGCAACAATGTCAACTTTGACACAAATCACATCTAAACATTTCAAACAAATCTTAGAAAGAAATCTTCATGTATTGCAAAACAAAGTATTACTACAACAACAATTAATTCTAATATGACACAAATATTTTAAGTTCTTTGAAAAGAATTCTACTAACAAACATTAAGATTAAATCTACTCCAATAAGAATTTAGTGCACTAAAATTGAAAAAATGCCAATAGATTTTTATACAATATTTTTTTAATCACTAAAAATTAATAAAAAAAATTTAAATAATCACAATTTTTTTTTTCTTTTTTTTCTTTTTTTACATAATGCTACAATTGCAGCAATAGACATTTACATATTTTAAGTTTCAAAGGGATGATATAAATAACATACATTTGAAATTTTAAAAATTTAAATTTAGCTTTTTTATTTGTAATGTTTTTGTCTATGATTTTTTTTTTTTTTTTTTTTTTTTTTTTTTTTTTTTTTTAAATAATCTAACTAGAAAATTTTACTTAAAATTTTAATCATGGCTTTGCAAAATAAGCTAGGTATTCCCTTTATACTAAAAAATTTATATAATAAAAAATATTATGTTTTAATTTTTTTATTTTAAAAACATATCAATATCTTGGATATTTTATACATATAGCTATAATTAGAATAAATTAAAAAAGATATAAGATTTATGAGTTAAAATATAAAAATAAAAAATCTAATTTTATTATTTATTTTATTTTTATTATTTATTTTTTGCATGATCTTTATACATGGTTTTGATCTTCAAATTGATTTTTGTAAATATAATTTATTTTATTTATCTTTTAATAAATGAGATAAAAGCCACCTTTGCATAATTTGTTATATATGATTACCAACATAAACATTTCTTTACTTGTGTCTAGGTAAAATTCATCCATTAATTCAAATTACAAGATGGCTTAAATTAAGAGTTGTTTGTAATTGGTTTAAAATGAGATAAGAAAATAATAAGAAAATAAAAATAATAAATAAAAAATAAGTGAAAAGAATATATTCAATTTATTACACACTCCAAAACTTAGACAGAGTTTCTTCATTAAATTTTCATCTAGTAAAAAATAAAAGTAAAAAAATTAAAAGTTTTATTTTTAGATAAGTATTTTTATTAACTTTTTAATGAAGTAAAAATTTGTAAATCCAATATATTATGAGTAAGTTATGAAGGTGTAAAGATAACAAGAATAATTAAACAAATTAAACAAATTAAACAAATTAAATTTTATTTTAAGGATAATTTGCTTATAGATTAAAGATTTGAGGCTCACAAAGGCTTATATGTAGTGTGTATGGATGACTTGGAGAGGCTTCGGGGCCTTAGACTTATACTCCTATCTATATCCAATGTATACAATCCATACATGACTTATATATATATATATATATATCCCTTCTTACAAGGACATTACTAGCTGTTGGTCTCTCTATTTCTTATTAGTAGCATTTATTTATTTATTTATTTATTTTATTTTTTTTCATTTTCATTTTTGATCTCATTACAATTTTTAAAAACATCCAATTAGCCAAACAACCTTGCATGGCCCTCAAATATTGCTCCATTTTTTTAATAGCTCCAAAGATAATAAAACTCAAATTTACCAAATTCTTAATTTTTTTTTCTAAAAAATCCTTAAAATTATAAATAAAATTTAAATAAATAAATTTTAAAAAAATATATTTCTATGATTTTAAATTGATTTAAGTCTATATTTTACTACTTTGGATTTTTTTATAGTAATAAAATTAATTTAAATCTATTATAGATGTTATTTTCTATATAAATAATTAAAAAGACATGATGTTTTTTCTAACTATTTACTAGCATTTATAAGTTTTTTTTAATAAATAATATGTATAGATAAAAAATCAAATGTAAAAATTGATCTTAATAACTAAACTTTAATATTTTATTAGTAAGCAAAATTATTTAATCAACTAAGATGATTGCTTCCAAGACTTAGTAAGACTCTATTTTCATTACTTTTCCTCTAATAAGACTTTTTTAACTTATAAATACTTCTGAATTCTAATAAATAATTAAATAATAAAAAACTCTATAATCTTAATGTTTTTATAATTAAATGTCTAAAAATTATATCTTTAATCAATCCAAAAATTAAAATTCATTAGTGGGACTCACACATGAAAAAAAAAAAAATTGGTAAAATAATGCAAAAATAACAAATACACACATTGTACAATTTTTGGTTATATTTTTGTATTATGATAGATTTGATCTATATCAAAAAATATACTAAATTTTTAACAAAGAAACTATATACATCAAGGAAAATAAAGAAAAAGACACTATGCCATAATATTGTATACAAAACAGATTTAGTGTGTTTTTTTGAAGAAATTATTTTTATTCGCATTCAACATAATTTAATCTTTTTCTTTCATTAACATTCAAAATAATATAGAAGATACAATTCTAATATATATATATATATATATATATATAAAAGAGTAAGTGTTTTTTTGATTTGATAAAACCATGTGAAGAAAATTTATATTTTAATAAAACAATTTAAAATCCAACTAGTTGTGAACATGAATTAGCTGTTTTATTCTAAAAAAAACATTAAATTTTCAAAAAAATATATCCTTTCATTTCAACATACTTATTTAAATAATATGACATAAAATCATTTTATTAATTTAAATTATATATAAATGTTTTAATAATAAAATATAAATTAAATTAAATAATCGATATGATATAAATAGTCTCATGGTAACCTTGTACATTCAATAAATGATAATCTTATGTTTCATTTAGAAATAATAATAATTCTTATCATTTTCATTGTTCTTTGATTTTTTTTTATTTTTTTAATTTTTTATGAAAAAAATTTATTTAAATATTATTGGAAATTTATTTAAAAACCAAAATTAAAAAAGTACCATCACATCTTTAAGCACCGAGGCTGTCACCCCGTCCAGGCCAAACCGGGCGTCGACAACTGAACATCTGTAACGGCGACGGCGACTACGGCGACGGTGGCGTCGTCGCCGTCACGATGTCTCCTCCTCCTCCTCATGCTTCTCCTCCTCTTCCTCTAGGGCAATGCTCCTCTCCGTTTCGGGATCTCCCTTGAAGCCCTCCGAGCTCCCTCTCTTCGATGTCCGCGTTGTGTTTCTCCTCCCGTCTTGCATTGCCTTCTCAGCTTCAATTGCAACTGGTGCTGAATCTCCCTCTTATACTTTCGATTGGTTTCAATTTCAACCATCGATTGACGCCTGTGCTGGCGGTATGATCGACTTCTGATCGAACAAGGAGCCGTTGCCCAAACGTGGATATACTCGTCGATGCTTGCTCACGAGGTGTTATTCCTTCACTTCTGGCTTCTGTTTGTGTAATGGGAGGGTACAGACGTGAATGATAGATGGGTTGTTGGAGTTGTTGCAAGGAGCATCTCTCGGGTTTCGACTAACTAGGGTAATTCGACAGGCCAGGGCAGAGCTTGGAGAAGAAGATGAAGTGTGGACGGGAACGAACTAAGTGAAGTGTTGGTTTATCAGTCGGATTGACGAGAGCAGGAGGTTGTTAAGCTTTGGAAGGGAATAACATTTTGCAATCAAAATGTCGGGGGCTACGTGGGAAGTGGCTGAGAGCTGTGTGGACAGCTTGAATATGGAGCTTGTGGCGACTTATTATAAGCGCTTGCACCCTACGAAACCCGAACTGGCAGCTCGAAGAATTGAGGCTATAGGCTATCAGGTTGGGCTTCAGCTTGCGGAGAGGTATCTATTCAATCTCACTCATGCTTTATAATTGAGACTCTCCTGTATTTTCTGCAAACTGAGAGCACATTAGTAAGATTCCAACCAGGGTTTAGGCCTTGTACAAGAGATTGAATGATCAGCATCTGTATTGTCGACCACGTTATGTTAAACACATGATACATGCACGAGACTTGTGAAAGTATCATGAACTGGATATCGATTACTTATGTGAAGTTGCCAGCTCAAGTGTAAGCTTAGGCTGCTGATTCATAATGAAGTTTTAACTGAGCACTTACAGTGTTCTCCCTTGACTTTACTTACTGGAAATGACTTTTAAAACATGCATCCTGTTTTGTAAGCTCATCCTTGTAAGATCACCCTTTTTTATGTGTAATTCATGACTTTGGTAGAAGCATGTAGCAGTCGCTTTATTCCCAGCTCTTGCTCTGTTAAGGTACACGAGGGATCGACCACGATTTAGCGATCATCTAGAAAGTATCAAATTCATTTGTAAGGATTTCTGGGCGGAGGTGTTTAAAAAGCAAGTCGACAATCTGAAGACAAATCATAAAGTATGTTCCCATTGGAGCCACGTTTGCGTTCCCAAACGCATTGGATACTCTTTTTTATACGTTATACTTAGGCATTTTCGGTACTCACTTGTGAAATTTGAACTAATTATAGTTCACTTTCGAAACATAAAAGATTTAACAGATGATCTTACATTGTCATCGTAGTATTAAATAAAATAAACAGATTGAAATACAAAGTTATTGAAATTTGCACTCCAACTTTTTTCTATTGTCACTAAGGGATCAAGTTGCTGTGTAGGGTGTGTTTGTATTGCAGGACAACCGTTTCAGATGGCTTACTCGTATTTCAGTAGACGCTCTTCCCCTTGCTGGAGCTCAAAATGAGTCAGCTGTAGCAGCAAATGCTGTGCGTGCATCACAAGCCGCAGGGCAATACTTGTACTTCCCTTGCGGTCTTATCCGCGGTGCTTTGACAAATCTTGGAGTGCCATGTGGGGTTTCTGCTGAAGTGACTACATTACCAGCATGTGAGTTGAATCTCGTAAATCCAGAACCAATTTGAATGTACTATTTAGGATTATCCAAGACTGCTGCAGTAGAAGTGGGTTGTAAGATAGTGTACACGATTTTTTTTGTCCCCCGTGGATTTTGCATTCTCCGCGGAGTTACCTGGTAATTGTTGAATTAGTTTGATTCCATGTGCTTTTTGAGGTGGTATATTGTTTAACATTAGTAATAGTTACAATCTTTCAGAATAGGTTCTCGTTACTTACCGATGGATGTGGTGGTGCTTGTGTTTGTGTAGGTGCTTTTGTGGTTAGGATTAAGGTGTAATAAGCTTCGGCTACTCACGCACCAGGAAGCTGCAGTGGAATGCAACCGTTCATCAATATCTTGCTACTGTTTCTTGGATAATTCGAATGATGGTTGTGTTGAAACGAATCCAAGGTTGCACACTGAAGTCCCTTCAGCTCTGATTTTGTGCTGCTTGTTTCGTGCAAGTACAGTCTTAGGTTTTGAAAAATAATCCATATTATTCTCATCAGAAAAAGTTATTTCGTGATGTCCGTTGAGTGGCCCTTGTTTTTTTTGTCTACCAGTCTTATACATATCTTAATTTGAAGCATGAAGGTGGAGAGTCATTTCATCTACCTAGCTTTGGTAAAGACCGGTACTTTTGAATTTTTGTGTACCTTCATTTGCCAGCGACGTGTGACGTGTGATAGTCAGTGGGCCATTCCTAAAGTAAATTTTGGTCAGGAAAGGTGACCGTGTGACCAAAACAATTCATTAGCAGCTGGATGTGCTGAGTATCACAGAGGCATGAAAGCAAGAAACATAAGTTGTAATGTTTTACCGCTCATTCTGTAGACTGGTGACACAAGAATAATCAGAGTTGGCAGCAACAAGGACATTCACAGACCTTTTCACAACGATTCCTGAATGAACTTGTGCATGAGTCTACCCCTGGGCTCCTCTTTTGGCAGATTCTGTTTAGATTCAATACCATGACCTGGCCCATTTAATTGGAGACGAGCTAAGTGCCGTTAGCTTGGGTCATATGTAAAGATTGTGCTAGGTGATCAAGGTTGTACATTTCTTGAGGTATTAAACAGATGTGTTATTTGTTGCATTGTGTATACAATATTGATTTTGCTATCCCCTTCCTACAGGCAGTTGAATATGTAATAAGTCCATACATGTGTTGTAACTACTTAAGATATTATTCTTGTGGTGTTGTAAAATGGATTAATTTTTAATTGAGAGGATCTTAAGTTAATTGATGTCAAATATTATATGCATGTACTTAATTTTATTTTTAAAATAGAAAACAAAATATAGCATTTGAATTGGCTTATGGAGTCAAACAAACTTATTAGCAAGCTTGTTGGATGGACTTTGTTGCTTCAAGAATATGATTTTGAGGTTGTTCATTGAACAGACATTACAATTTGGATGTAGATGGATTTTCATGTAATCCAAGTTCTTCAAAAGAAAACTTAATTAAAGCTTCATGGTATGGAGACTACAATAGAGGCAATTTTTAGATGGCATGCAACCACATACTTAACTTTGATACCAAGATCTACAATTGTAATATCTGATCAAAGCTCAGATGACAAATCAAATAAGATCCAAGTAACTAGCAATGTGTAAGATGTTGCGGTCTTATATAAGCTTCAATAAGGGACATTTTTTTTAGCTATCTTTACTATAGAAAGATATAGGATTAATCACCAAATAATAAGATTTTATTGAGAGTATAATTTATTATTTTGTGTGTGGCTTGATGGAATTAGTTACATAGTTCCAAGGCGAAAACAAAGAGTTTCCTTTGTGCGGCAAGTACATAAAGAGCTTAAACATTTTGAAGTGTATATGATACATTCTATATTGTGCAACCAATATTGGTGGACTAGCATATATCAATAAGTGATTATATACATTTCTTGGTATAAAGTGTGTGATTGGGTCTAGTCAACCTTTAATACCTTATCACCTTAATTGAGACCTTTATCCATTGTGGATTTGAACTATTGTTGGTCTTTGGACTTTATTGGATCTCTTGTTGTTATCCTAAGTAGAACTAAACATGCGTTGGTGATGGTAGAACAGTTCAGCAAGTGGATTGAAAATATGTCTTTGCTACAAAACTCTTTAAAGATAGCAGCTATGGCTTTTCTTAATTGTGTGTTGGTATGTTTTGGAATACATGTTAAAAGCTTAATGGATTAAAGAAATGAGTTCTTTGGAGCTTTTGAAGCTTTATCTATTAAAACTTTGATAGATCATTGTACCACCTCTAGAAATCATCTCAAGGGAGATAAATTGGTTGATGGGTTGTCTAGAATGATAATCATGGTTTACAAAAGTATGGATTATTCTATAGTAAACATTGTCATTGAAACTTGTTGCAATTCACAACCATTCAAAAAATTGTGCTTCTTGCCACCTTTTTATTGATGATTTTATACATCTTGAAGTAGCAATTGTGTTAGATGGTCTTTCTTGTTTCATATGTGGTAAGAAAAAAAGAGTTGCTATCATGCTATTATATAATCAATATCAACATGGCTTATAGTATGCTTGATACCACATCTTTAGAATTTTCTTTTAAAAGAATAGATTTTTTTTTGTTGTTGTAAGAAGTCTCCCATCCATGTTTAATTTGTTGACAAGGATAGAAGATTCTTTCTTCTATATTTGCTACATATTTTTGTGGTCTAATTATTACAACATTAAATTAGATGAATTTTTTTTTGTAATAAAATTATGTATTTATCTTTTTCTAGTAATTGAATTAATTATAATTAATTAGAATTTGAAGACTTAGGTAGGAAAATCTCCTTTGATTTGACATTCTTGTTAAGTCAAGTCTTGTGAGTAATTTTGAGAGGAAAAAAGCTATTGTTTTAAAAATTTGCTCAATTATAATGATTTAATCATTTTAGTAAAGTTTTAAGATTTGTTTTACTTACACTTGTACTCTTTGATTTTTCTTTTGTTGTAAGAGAGATAAGTTAACTTAATTGTATGTAGATTTATCATCTTTCCTTGAAAGTGTGTTGGTTGTGTATTTATATATATAATATTTTTGTTTTTATTTATTTATTTTTTTTGCATACTTCGTGATTGATTTATGGCATTTAATGTATTATATGTAATAATCTTTGTTTATACAACACAAGGCTTAAAATTTGTAGTGCTCAATTTTACTTCTTAGGCAAGCTACTTCTGAATTATAATTTATTGAGCATTAGAATCCATCATAATATATAAAGGCATAATTTGCTTTGATGGTTGGAAGCCAAAAATCAAAATCAGATCCTCATTCTAATAATATATAGGTAAAATTCACAAGTGAACTAAAGAACTTGGTACTTGCAATTGATGTTTATAAGTTATAAAATTAGTGACAATAAAATAAGATTGCAATTAGGTCCAAAATAAAAATAGAGAGAAGAAAGAAATTAAAACTTATTCTAATTTTTTTTATTTATCTATTGAATAAATGCCAATTTATTGCTCTATATAACCTCCTTTTTCCAAAACAATAATACCATTAGCTTCTCTGGGAAAAATTTGCCTAAAAATGACTCAAAAAATGTCAAGTTTGGACTTTATATGTTCTCATAGCAAACTTGTAAATATTAATACTTATGATTTTTGAACAAAAAATATCTTATTTTGATTTTGATTTTGGTAAAAATTCCTAAATAATAAGCAATTTCATCTTAATTGAATAAAAAATAGTAGATGGATGAAAAACTTAAAAATAAAAATTTATTTATAATAGATAATAAATAAAAATGTGAATAGATAGAATCAAGATAGAACCTATGTTGTAGGCACTACAATAGGCTGATATTTGTTACCATACTCTACCATGTTTTTCTGTTTTTGCTCGCTTTGATTTTAGGACTCAAAATTCTTATACAATCCAAGAATTTTATTTTAATCTCTGTATAAATACAACTCTAGGTACAACCGAATACATTCTTTATTTTAGCTAAATTGAATATTGTTTCTAAATCCAACATCTTATTGCATACAAACAAGGATCGATACAATAAGGTTGCTTGAATGGAATTACAAACTTCATGCTGATGATTGAGCTATTATATTCTTTTTATGTTTAAATTCTCACTCTCACAGTACTAGATAATATTCTTCAATATGTTGTGCTTGTTCCACCATAAATATACCTTCTCCATAAATACTTTACCAATGTTATTACTTCCTCTAACTTTTAGGTATCATTTAAATATACAAATAAATATCATTTCTATTTTTAATAGATATATAACTAAGAAGAAAGATAAAATAATTCTTTCAATTAGATTTAAAGCATGGCTATTTTGTATGTGGATGTAGCAAAGATAGTAATTCTTCATATTTTGTATGTGGATGTGGCAAAGATAGTAATTCTTCATGATTTGGTGATGATGTAAAAGTAGGCTTAAAATAAATCTATCTATTTCTTCTCCTTTGAAATTTCTTTTAACTTTGGTACACCATCTTCTAATGTTACAACTTAGTGCAATACCACAAGAGCACTACAATCTAATGCTACATAAGTAACATTAATTCAAAATCATACAAAATTGTAGCAACAAAATAATAACTTTTAGACAAAAATTCATAAGAATTGAAGGAAAAAAAATCTTTATTACTTACTTCATTTCAATTTGCTATACCATAAATAAATAAATAAAATTAAATAAAAAATTAAAATGAAGTAAGTGATAAATAAAATTAATAAATAAATAAAATCAAGAATTATTTATATAAAATAAAAGATGATGTATCTAAATACCACTATGCCACAAAGAAAGAATTCAAGAATACTAATATATAAAAAAATACTTAGCAATTTATGATAGCAATAAATATTTTAAAGAAAAAATTTAGTTGTTTCTTAATATATAATAGTTTTATATATGGTTTGAAATGTATCATTTTATAGATATTATCTACTATCACAAATGTAGAATCATAAAAACTTGAAATTAAAAGATTGTTCATAAAATCTATAAAAATAGGTAACTAGGGTTGTTTTGATATAAGTAATGACTAAAGAATTTCATAAAGCCAATGACAAGGAATTTTTGATCTTAAAAAAGTATTGCATGGTTACACAAATTCTTTGATTATTTTTTACATTTGAAGCCATTAATGTTTTTTGACATTAACTCTAAGATCTCATTGTATCCAAAATTTCTTATAATTAAGAAATTATGGCAAGTTTGAAGAGTATATAATTATACTTCACTTTTTAAAATATATAAATATTGATCAAAATAGAGAAGATTATCTTTGAATTCAAAATTAGAGGTATTATGAGATATAAAAGAATTATTCTTAATATCATACATAAGAAGATCTAAAGACATACTTAATTATACTTGATTAATAAATATTAAATTAATAATTGATTTTTTTATTTTATTAATTAAAGATGATTTTTTATTTTAAAAAAATTATTTGTCATTGATCAAATGCTACATCTTTTCTTTTGTGCAAGATAAAAATTATTAAGAAAAGAATCCAACAAATGGTATTTTTTTCATAATTAATAAGTTATATTAAATAAAAATATTGAAAAAAACATGCTCTAATGTGTTTGGCAGTAATTCAAAATATGTATTATTATAAAATAGTTGAGATTCTTATCAGCTTCTTATCCCACTCAAATTTTTCTTTATAAGCCAAACATATAAATAAAGCTATAACTTAAAAAAAATATTGATAAAAATTCAATACTAATTGAAAAATTTCAAAAATTATTAAATATCTCTTATTATTATTAGAATCTTGTAAACTCTTTTGATGAAGTCAATTTTTTTAAACTTAATAAGAGGTTTAAAACATATTGCATTAATTTAAATGTCTTCTACTTTCAAATGTATGTGTTGAGATAATATTGGTGTTATTA